GTCTGACAGCGCGGGGCTGTCTGACCGGTACAAGGGGTCAGTTACTGCGTGCACCCAGCAGGCCACCTCTCACACACGCTCACAGCAGGGTCCCAGCGACGGCCTTGCACCTGGGTGCCATGGGCATTTAATAATAGAATATCTTGTGTTTGCAACACACTCGACCGACCACAAAGTACTTTCTAACACATCATCTCACTGGATCCCACAACCTCCCTGTGCGAAGAGGCAGGGATTATACTCTCCATTCCACAGATGAGGAAATGACACCTTCCTGTTAGCGCTGCCGCCCTGGGACCCAGCATTTCCCTGCTACACGCTCCCTGCCTCTCCTTCCCCTACACAGTGGCTTCATTTTAGGCGACCACCTCATTCTCCCTCAACATTCCTGTGTGTAAGTGGGGGCACGGGTGCAAAGGATGGCTAAGCCAGGGGCCTAAGTGGCAGTCAATAGCAAAGATAAAAACAGGAACTCAACGCAGTGTTTAGCTCACAGAGCCTTAGAGGGCAAGGCTTAATTACTCTCACAGTCGTCGAATGCGTGTCCTGGACTGGCTACTGCGCCGGGCCAAAGAGACGGCTGCCGCCCGATGAACCAAGCTGGCGAGGAGAGAAACAGTAAAAGCAGCTCGTTCAGGCTGTGGGAACTCCCAAGGAAGCAGAGAACACCTTTACACAGGTGGGTGAGGAAGCCTCTCTGCACCTGAGGACAGACAGATATATAGATACATATACAGAGGGAGAGAGGGAGGGAGAAACAGAGACATGGATCAGTTGCCTTCCACACGCTCCGGGACCGCAACCAGGTCCGCACGCGCTCTGCCCGGCGTCAAACCGGCAACCTCTCAGCGCGCAGGACGACACTCAATGGTGCCCCTTGGGCCAGGCTCTCGGGTGACTTTTTATATAAAATCCAAAGGATGGCCCTGGCTGGTTTGGCTCTGCGGTTAGAGCGTCGGCCCTCAGGCCAAAGAGTCACGGGTTCCATTCCGGTCAAGTGCACGTACCTCGGTTGCAGTTTGTCCCCAGTCCTGGTCAGGGTTGTGCGGGAGGCAGCCACTCGATGTGTCTCTCTCACATCGCTGTTTCTCCACTCTAACTGAAGATAAATGTAAAAATAATAAGAGTTATTGGGCCCGGCCAGTGTGACTCAGTGGCTGAACGTCGACCCATACACCAAGAGGTCATCAGTTCGATTCCCGGTCAGGGCACATGGCCAGGCTGTGGGCAAAAAACCCCAGTGGGGGGCATGCAGGAGGCAGCCGATCGATGTTCTCTCTCATTGATGCTTCTTTCTATCTCTCCCTCCCCTTCTAAAATCAATTTTTAAAAAAGAAAAAAGAGCTATTGGACACTGTCTTCCAATTCTTACCTTCCTACTGTTTCCTCTGTTAAACTGTAATGTTTCGTTGAATCGTGGCACTTTGGAGTCAAAAAGGCCTAATCCATGGATCCAGAACCCCATATTTTTTTATTATTTTTTAATCCTCACCCAAGGATATTTTCTCAAATATCTTCAGATAAAGAGTCCGCGGTGGGGAGAGAAACATCGATGTGAGAGGGACACATTGACTGGTTGCCTCCCGCACGACCCAGACCAGGGCCGAGAATGAACCAAAACCGAGGTACATACCCTTGGAATCGAACCCGTGACTCTTTGGTCCATGGGCTGATGCTATACTGCTGAGCCAAACCGGCCAGGGCCAGAACCCCGTATTTTAAAAATGTATTCACTGAGGCCCAGAAGACTGGCCTTTTAATTATATTGTCCGATTCTGTGGTATAAGGAACTAGATTCAAGTATCAACAGTGATTCCGACTCACAGAATCTTTTCTTTCTTTCTGTTTTTTTTTTTTAATCCTCACCCAAGGACAGTTTTGCATTTCTCTTCAGATAGAGCGGGAGGGAGAGCGGAAGAGAGAGAGAGACATCAATGTGAGAGAGACACATCGACTGGTTGCCACCCATACGACCCCAACCGGGCAGGGGATGAACTGCAACCGAGGTACGTGCCCTTAGCGGGAACCGAACCCAGGACTCTCCACCCATACGACCCCAACTGGGCAGGGGATGAACTGCAACCGAGGTACATGCCCTTAGCGGGAACCGAACCCAGGACTCTCCACCCATACGACCCCAACCGGGCAGGGGATGAACTGCAACGGAGGTACGTGCCCTTAGCGGGAACCGAACCCAGGACTCTCTGGTCCGTGGGCCAACGCTCTAACCACTGAGCCAATGCAGCCAGGGCCAGAACCCCGTATTTTAAAAATGTATTCACTGAGGCCCAGAAGACTGGCCTTTTAATTATTCTGTCCGATTCTGTGGTATAAGGAACTGGATTCAAGTATCAACAGTGATTCCGACTCACAGAATCTTTTCTTTCTTTCTGTTTTATTTATTTATTTATTTAATCCTCACCCGAGGACAGTTTTGCATTTCTCTTCAGATAGAGCGGGAGGGAGAGTGGAAGAGAGAGAGAGAAACATCAACGTGAGAGAGACACATCGACTGGTTGCCACCCATACGACCCCAACCGGGCAGGAGACGAACTGCAACCGAGGTACATGCCCTTAGCGGGAACCGAACCCAGGACTCTCCACCCATACGACCCCAACCGGGCAGGAGACGAACTGCAACCGAGGTATGTGCCCTTAGCGGGAACCGAACCCAGGACTCTCTGGTCCGTGGGCCAACGCTCTAACCGCTGAGCCAATTTGGCCAGGGCCACAAAATCTTTTCTTTCCTCTGACGTGTGAAGCTGACGCTAACTTTTCCCTACCTCAAACTAACTATTAAACTTACATTCAGAACTCTGAAACCCGCCACTTTTCTCTTCCTTCACAAAGCATGTATTTATACTGTGCAAACAATGCTGGGATGCTGCATGCATTGTTTCTCCAGTGAGCTATTCATTGTCTTCTACAAAGCATGGTCAAACACCACGCCAAACGATGCTGAATCCTGTCCTCATGATGAAGGATCCATTCAAATTTATTTAGATTGAGAGAAGAGTTGTTTCTCTGGTAGAAGGAGCCTGTGACATTCAAATTCCTGGAATTACCCCTGGCACCACCTCCTCCCTCCTCTGCTCACCTTTCTAAAGCAACCTGATGGTATGTAGACATTCAGGTCAGTTTCAAGCATGTTAGATTGTACCTGTAATTTAGCAACTTGCTTTTAAAAGCTGTCCTCAGTATTAGCAGAAAGGAAGTACTATCTGGTTCGGGTTCTGAGAAGCAGCAGTGAAGAGTTATTTCCACACACAAACTCCAGTCCACAGTACAACTATTAACTCTCATAAAAAGAGTGACCAGCATCTTTTGTGAGCTGCAAGTAGGAAAATCAATTCACTGAAACAGTAACTTTACCTATCAAAATATGAATAATTCGGACATTTCCTAACAGTCATTAAAAACCAGATTCGCTTTGCCACCCTTATCAGTGACTGATCCAATCCTGCTGAGCTTTAAAATGTAAAATGTGCTTTTGTGCAATTATTTATCAACCATTAACTATGTGCAAGGGTGCGTAAGATAGAAGCCTACAAGGCAGAGTTCCTGCCCTTAAGGAGTTTACAATCTAACATATGTTAGGTTATAAATTATTAGTTCAACACGTCTATCACCTATTAGTGAGCAGCCACTGGAACACAGCTGAAAACAAACCTGTGGAGGGGAGGGGAATGGCAGCGTGCTGAAGTCCATGCTAAAACCTGGACACATTTCTCTTTAAAAAGGATTTTGTTCTATAACATACTGGGAACAATCAGAGTCAGCATGTTAACATGAAACCAACTTTTATTTTGGTCTTACCCAAATCTGGTCATTTCCTGAAATGGGTACCTAGCCGGTCTTTGATCTGTTTAAATACAACTTCACTTAAAACTCGATAATTACAGACATGCAAAAAAAAAAAAAGGCAGTTAAAAAAAAATAAAGGCAGGGTTAGGTATGGTGAACTTAGATGTTTCAGTCTCCTCAACAAACACATACCCATTGCATTCTTACAGATCTGTAAAATCTTCAAACTTAGCAGAACGCTCGTTTTCCAAACGAGAAAAAGCATTTTAACCTCACCTTTCTTCACCCCTGACAGTTGCCTAGAAACCAGTCCTGCCCTACCTGTGTTGCAGGTGTACCTAAAGTCACCAACACATCTCTTTTAAAGCTACAGCCTCTATTCTGCCTGCACTTAAGTTTATGACTAACAATCTATTCATATTTTTTTTTTTATCAGGTAAGAGACTGGTTTCTTTCAAGCAATGACGAAACCCTAATAAAGACTTAGCAAGCACCCATACAGCACCAATCATAGTTAAGGAGTCATCTCATTTGCACTAAGGCTATGATATACATATAAATACACACACGTACACCGGGAAATACCCAATGAGCGTTCACGTTTTGAACAGAGAATTCTGCAGTTCCTTTCCTTTTGAAGCAGTATTTAGGGCGCTCAGAGCAGAGTCACGTTCCTAGGAGAGGGAGAGGGCACAGAACTGCTGGATGAATTGAAGAGCACCGGCTGCGGAGGACCGTGGTCGCGGAGCCCACGCGGGGGACGGCGCGCGGGCAGCGACCACCCGCCACCCGCCCCAGCAGCCGCCCGCCGCGGCTTTCAGGACCGGGGAGGTGGCACCGGTGCGCACCGGGGACGCAGCTCCATTGTGGAGAGGGGAGCGCGCGAGGCCGCCGCCAGCCCGCGGGCGCGGGACCCCGGCTCGCCGCTCCGAAGCCCCGTGCCCTCCGCAGCCGTCTCGGGGCCGAGGCGCGTCCGGGTGCCCGGTGCGCGGCCGGCGAGGCGAGGGGCACCCCCAGGCCCGATCGCGCCGCCCGGGCCGGCCCCTCCCTCCGTCCGTCCGTCCGTCCCGGGGAGACTCCGCGTCGGGCGACCCTCTCCGCGCCCGGGGACCCGCCCTGTGTCGGGAGCCGCCCGCAGCCCCGCGCGGCGGGGGCGCGGCGCCGCCCTCCCCACCCCCGGCCCGCAGGCCCCTTACCCCGCGGAGCCACGGCTGCCCCACGGCGCCCTCCCGCGCATGTCCGTCCCGGCTGGCTCAGCGCCGCGGGCTCGGGGGCCCGGACACCGCGCAGGCGCCCAGCCGCTCGCAGCCGCTCGTCCCCGGTTCGCGTTCCCCGCTCGCACTCGGCCGCCGTCGCCGGGCCGCCGCCGCCTGACTTTATAGCTTAGCGAGCAGGGGTCGTGACGTCAAGGCCCCGCCCCTGCCCCCGGGCAGCCAATCGCGGCCGCGAGCCGCTTAAAGGGGCGATGCGGCGCGGCCGGGCCGCTCGCGTGGGGTCCCCTGGCGTCGCGCGGCCTGCGGGGAGGCCGCCTTTGTCTCCCCGAGAAGGAGCTTCGGGGCCACCGGGGCCTCGCTCCCCAGCTCTGCGGCGGAGCGGCCGCTGCTGAGCCGGCAGCGCCTGCCACTGACGCGGGCTCTGCAGTGCGCGGGCAGCCCGGCCCGGGCCGCGGTTCCTGCCTCGCCCCAAGGGGGCGCCAAGCCCCGCGCGGAGTTCCCCGTCTTTCCAGCCGCGGGGACGTTTTTGCGTGTTTTCTCCAGTCCGTGGACCGCCGCCGCGCTCACCACGATGCCCGCGGGCCGCAGAGTGGGCGGGACAGAGAGGGCCACGGTGGGACAGCGAGGGACAGACTGGGCGGCGTGGGGCAGCGTGGGGCAGCGAGGGACATCAAGAGACTGCGAGAGAACAAGGGACACCGAGGGGCGGAGGAGGACAGTGAGGGACAGCGTGGGGCAGCAGGGGACACCTGGACAACGAGCAACTGTGGGACAGCAAGGGACAGCGCAGGACCGTAAGGGGCAGTGTGGGGCAGCATGGGACCGGGAAGGGCACCGAGGCCACTCCGCCGACGCCTGTCGTGGGCGACTTGAGAGAAGGTCTGCCCAGCCACCTTCTCTCCGACCTCATGTTTGAAAATCCAGGCCAGGACCTGGTGGCGGTTGACCCGGCCAGGGCCACGCACGGGCTTCCAGAAGGAGCACCTCCACCCCCAACCTGGCATCTCCATGAGTTCCCAAAGTCGAGTTTACTTATCAGACCTCAACATCTCTCGGCCTGGCTGGCAGCCACCGATGCCCGAGGACGAAACACCAGCGAGCCTGCGGGAGGAGGTTTCTTGGGGCGCCGGTGATGCAACTTAGGCTTATAGTTTAACCGTAAAATAAATAATACAAATGATAACAAACCAAGAGTAACTAAAGTGAGAAAAAAAGCAAACAAGACAGAAACCCTCCAGTTTTAACTAGAACAAATCCCCGGAATGGTACTCTCTATTGAGTAGAGGCCAGAGACCTCCTGCTGACCTCTTAAGTCTCCCAGGAGGCCCTGCTTGCATTTCAGCAATAATGCCTGATAGCTGTCCGTTTAACATTGCCTAATTGGGATGGCTTAACATATGGAATGAGAGATTCCGACCTCATTATCAGGTTAACTATTAACTTTGCACTCTATGAAATGATTTGCCTTTCTCCCCTATTATTTACTTACATTCTTTTAAATTTAATTCAAAGGCTTAATTTCTAACGCCAGCCCTTAAGCAATAGCGCAAAAGCGCGCGCTCCTGCTCACACACACACACACACACACACACACACACTGAAGTATCTCTTTGCCCTTTTTCAGTTGCAAGATAAATGAATGTTTACCAGAAAGACCTCTATCCTCCTTGACTGGCTCCTTCTGGATTACTGGGGCTTCGAGCTATTTTCATGTCTATGCTACTTATCCACAATTCCGATAATTCCATTTTTTTTGTTGTTGTTGTTAACTTCTTACTTATTGCCATTCATTGTTTAGTATTGTTTTAAGATGATGGAAATTAGTCGCAACTAACGGCTGGTTTTCTTTACCAAATTAGGTCTTTTGATTCACAGAAAATGCAGGACACCCCCCCCCCATTTTGGTTTCATCTATGTTTATGGTTTACCCATATGCTGTTACCAGTGTGGAAAAAGGACCAGCCAGAAAACTTGCCAGAGAACATCTTTTCAGAGCGCACAGAGTAGCATTTACTGAATGGGGACCTCAATGAGCTCCAGTTTCATCCAAAAGGAACCCTCCTTACGCGATTTCAAGTTGCTACAATACAGTTGTAATTTGTGCTGGCCTGATTGGCATACTTTTACATTCCCCTATTCATAAAACAGTGATAGTCACCAGAGCAACCATCAAACACACCCCTTCTTTCAAGAAAGAAGATCAACAGGATACTTACTATATGGTTGTGAGCTGTAGAATGTGCTAATGTTTTGGTAAATTATAAAATATCATAAAATCATATGAGTGATACATGATTAATCTGATTTTTTTTTCTTCTGCTTCCTTTTAAACTTGCAAAATAAACTGATTTGTTTATTTTGGGGGAAAGCCAGTTATAGCTAATAGCTTACTGAATTTTGCTTACAATTATATTCATATATTACGGCTCTCTCAGCTGTGAGTGGATTACATAAGACACCCCACAAATCTTTGATCTAATAGTCTACTAAGGGTATTTTGTTATACCGTTGACATGTCAATAATGGACTATTTTCGGAAGAGTTTAAAAGGAAAATGCTAAGCAACTTGAAATAACATTAGCATATTGCACTTATCAAATGATCATTCACACTGACTTTTAACAGATTAGAACACTAGTCTAGAGGTTTAGGGAAAAAGACTGTCTTTGTACTGAACCTAACTTGTTTTAAATTGACTGCAGTAAGAAAGAGATTTAAAATCAGACAGCGTTTTGTTTTCTTTTTTACATTTCTCATAGGCCGTTTAAGTTTGAGGTCACTTCTCAAGGAATTATATTAGCTGATTGTTTTTTAATATTTAAAAACAACAACAACAACAACCCTAAACATAACATCTAAAACGTTAGACTTAATCACATTGACCCAAATTGTCACTTTGCACTTGCCCTTTTTCAGTGTAAGAAGAAGCTGTCCTTGGAGTGAGAACAAGGGGAGGTTCTGGCTCGGAAACCTTAGAATGCAGGCTCTGCTTTTCTAAGGACAGGGATCCCTTCTGTCCTCCCAAGGCTCCCGCAAGTCATGCACAGGCGCAAATATGCCGGCCTTCTCCTGGTCTTCGAATCCCACAGAATACACATTTTGGTGTTTATTCTTCCCGATTATAAATGTTGTTGCATTCCTCCTTTTCAACAAAGAAGTATTTTCAATTGAGACGCTATCTACATATTACTTTCACTCCTCAAGCTTTTACTTTTGTCCATGTGCGATTTATTTATTTATTTTTAACTATTTTTTACATTTATTTTTGTTACATATGTTTCTCCTTTCCCCCCCCACAAGTCCATGTGCGATTTAAATGTAACTGTGCACTTAAAAAAACAACTAATTTATAGATAAGTGTGCGATAAAAAAAAAAAAAATACTTGACAGTAGAAGGAAGAATTGCATTTCTTATAGGCCAGCTTGTTTTTAAGTTTTGGATACATCTGGGCACAGATACATGTATTTATATAGACAATACATTTTGTGGATTGCTTTGAGACATACATGCTAATAAGAGCTGAGATTCATCCATGAGGTATGCTTTCAACTTGAGCAGCCATTTGGAAAGTTCCACAGAAAAAGGTTTCTTTACAATTTCCATTTTCCCCTTATGTAGTTAGGGATACTGCTCTCCCTTCCTAGCCTTTCCCCTGAAGAAAGGGGGGGCTGTATACAGTATACTTAGCCTATGAGATGACAGAGCAGGCTGGTTTTAAGTTATCAATCTGTTGTTTTCAGTGTTCGCTTAAGTACTGTTTTCAACTGCTTTTTCTTAGTTTGAGTTGTAAGAGGCTGTTTGTATAGTTGTTTGTTTTTAATTGAGCCACTTTTCACTAACCTCATGTTCCCTTTAATGCACATTTGATACTATTGGTGGTTATTGTATTTCTAGTTCTATCTTATTTCTAGAACTTATAACCATTAGAATTTTTTTAGTGTTCTATAGATACATTCATTTTATATGTGCATGTTCACAAGACTGTTTTTTTGTTGTTGTTTGTTTTTTTTTTTTTTTCAAATTTCTTTGAAACATTTGTTGGATTTTACCTTCAAATGTTAGCATGACATTTTCTCCCAAGTAAATGCTGTATTTCCTATTAGCTGGCCGGTAGGGTGTGCTCTAGTCCCTTGCCAGATAATTAAATAAATAATATTCATGGAAACTCTTCATTAAGAGATTTCAGAAATACATTTTGCTCCTTCATAGTCACCGACACAGATATGTTTATATAGACACGAACAAGTAGCTCAGTGTATCCAACAGGTATGGAACGTAAAATTGTTCTATTAAAAAAAAAAAAAAGGAAGCTTTGAGATGTTTACTTCTTTGAAATTAGATCTAAAATAATTTGGTATTATTTTACCAAATCGGTCCCTTGGCAACATATTTTCTTTCATTCTGGGTGAAAGAGGAGGAAGAAAAATGGTGTAGCGATGAAGAGCCTGGGCCCTGGAATTGGAGTGTGTGGGTGTGAATCCCAGCTCACCACCTCATGACTCAGGCAAGGGACTTAGCCTCTTGTGAGATGGGTTACCAGTGGATTTCACTCCAGAGGACTAATGGGCAGATACATGAGATTATACAGGAAAAACTGTTTAGAACATGACCTGACCCCCATCCGGGTTCAATAACTGTTAGCTGTTTTTATCAATATTGCCGTTCTCATTGTTATGGTTGTCATATAGTCTCTGAGAGATCTGAACACCTTTCATGGCAAGATTCCAAAATTCTCTGTTGCTTATTGGTGTATATGATTTAATTGGTCAAGGAGGTTGCTTCATTAAATTCCAGGAACATAAATGATTTATAAGATACAATGTCTTAACTTTATCTGCAGTATTTCCACTTAAGAGGTTATAAAATCTTCAGCCAAAGAAGCGGACCTGCCAGAATGAAACCTCAGATGCCGGCAGTCCTGGGGAGATAGTCTCCCGGCGGGGTGACTCGGCCAGCATCTCAGAAGGGAAGCAGTAGTGTGGCCATGTGGCCGTGAGCATTTACTTCTTGTAAGCCCACCCTCATCAACATCTATAGGCATG